CTAAAATCATTGGATTTATTGCTGTAAATATTTCAGAAAGAAGCATCTAAACAAAATGAACAATCAAATTGTGATAAATGAAAGTCCATCTCTGAGAAATACTACAAGAAGTTGAGTCAAACTACGTAAATTTTGAATGACTACAACACAAACTAAAATGTAGTGATATACTTTTACGACGTTAACTTTTACAAGAGAAATAAATTGATTCCTTTTTTTTTCTATGTGCAACGCACGATATTACACGAGTTAGTTCTTATATGTTTACTTATTTGGGTTTTAATTGATGAAAAACAAATATCTTAACAATTGTAAAGTATAATAGGAACGAATCACTAATAAAAAATACGAATTAATATTTTATTGAGTAAAATTTATAATAACTAAAATTCAAATGAATGAAAAAAATAAGAATCAATATCTCAATAATAAGAACTAAAATCCAATTTGGGAAAATAAAAATATAAAATGATTATATTGAAAATTCATCATAAAAATTAAAATAGGTGAAATTATAAATAAAATAAAATAAAATTATTGTTGTAAAATATTAATTTTTGGAGTAGTTGAATTTTGTATATGTTGGTACTAATGCAATTATTCCCATTTTATGATTTTGTAACCACTACATTAATGGAGCATTAATTTCCTGTTTCATGTTGTTATCTTATATATGGATGGACGCTACTTGCTTTGGGAAACATTAGATAATCATAATCAAAATTGTACCTACTCTTATCTCTTTGATTTATATTCTTTTTTCTCAATTTATTTTGTAACAGGATTTTCCCTATCTCTCTTTTCATTTTATAACGTGTTAGAAACAATATTTTTACGATCTCCAAATAAATGAAATATTTTTTTTTTTTGCAAGGTTTGTATTTTATCATTGATTTCCAATTCATCCTTCTTTTATCAATCTTGTTTTCTTTTTATTTCCAACTTCAAATCTAAAATATCTTATCTACCAACCAAAAAAAAACTTCTTTATCCTCATGAAGTGGTCGTGAGTATTTGACAATATATATCCTTATGCTTCTAAAGTAGTTGTAAGTTGTTGAAAAAACCTTATTGAGTATTTCACAACCTATAACTCATATACTCATGCTCCCGAAGCAATAATTAGTGTTTGGTAATCCTTATTATTAGTTTAAGGATTTTTCAGTAAAGTATTATGGCAAATATCGAAAAGTCTAAATTTCACATCATAGAAGTAAGTGAAAATAATTATAATTTTAGATTTGTTGGTTTAAAAGCAAATTAATAAACCGCTGTTGAAATATCATTATCTTATGCTTGCAAATTCAAAAGTATTGTCTAAAGCAATTACAAACTCTATGAAAGACTCCAACTATTTAGAGGGCTATGAGGGCAGACAAGGATACATTGGGAGATAACACTCTCTATATTCTTTATGCATCTCGAATATGTTCCAAAAGTAGTCATATCGAGAAAAATGGCTCATACAATCTGGTCAATTGGTCTAACTTCATTCTCTGAAGCGAATATCCTAAACTATAATTTTAGACATGAAAATCATGGTCATAATCAATGATCCTAAATATGAATAAACAAGTGCTACTCTAAATTGTTCGAAGGCTCTAAAAGAGATTAGACTGTGTTACCTTGGAGAAATAATCAATGAAGGAAATAAGCCCTCTCAGCAGAATCCTGTCAATGCAATAATATCTCTTCGTAATTATTTCTATGATGATCATAAAGCTAAATATTCAATAGCAAAAAATTCAGTATATCATATAATATTTCGAACAATTTCTAAATTAAAATTATTGATGAAGACATATTAAAGAAAATATTTTATATTTTTTATGCCTCGAATATACTCCTTCAATAACAATATTGAGAGGGGTTTCAAGACATTTGCTTAATATCATGTCATCTTATCGTCGCACAAAACTTTTCATGACAAATTGCTAACCACGACTAATTGGGTTTTTATCATTATCGTGGATGTGGTCGTAGGTATAAGCAGTGTTATTAAACCCGGACCGACCCCGCCGGGTGGACCCGGGAACCGGTGAATCGGTCATATAACAGGTCCGGTTGATGTAACGGACCGGCCATGCATCAGAATCGGTGTGACCCGGTCTGACCCAGCCAGTTTTCATGAAAACCGGTGACCCGACCCGGTTCAAAAAAAAATCAAATTATTTATTTTTTAAAAATAAATAAATCATAATAGACATATTTGAATATTTTTTTTCTTATTGACTTACATAAGTTATGTACTTACAACACTAATATTATCTCAATTATGCACTATTCAGAAAATTTTGATTTGATTTATAGTTAGAGATGTCGTTTTCTGAACCTAAAGCCCTATATCACGATCATTATATTTTTGTTTGATCCTTTATTGAATAATAATATGTGATTTATTATTTTTTATATTAAAATATTTGAAATTTTTATCATTTTTTTAGATATTTGAGTATGCTTATAATTTTTTAATATAAATAATAAAAATACATATATTTACCGGGTCATGCGGTTGAACCAGTGACCCATTGGTTGAACCAGTGATCCACTGACCCAGTACCTCGATCGAGTCAATGACCGGGCCGGTTTAATAACATTGGGTGTAAGTATTACCGTGGATATCGCCATACAATATTTGGCATCATGATAATCCTAAAAGTGGTAGCTATTCAGATAAATTGATTTTGCAAAAACCCACGCTTTTAGGTGATTAATGGGTATTGATGACAAGTAAATCAGGGAATGAATATGATAATATGAACAAGGAGTAACTTAGTGATATGAATAAATTTAATTAAGCATGTGATTTGGAGTATTTAGACACTTCTTGAGAGAAAAGTGTGAATAGTAAATTTAATGGGTAAAATATTGTAGTGAAATTTACCCGAAAAACTCATAAATAAGATAATTACATGATAAATATTTGAGAGTCCAATTATGTCGAACCAGTCATGTAAGTACAAAATATTATTACGTAAATTATTGAGTTAAATTAATTAGGGGATGTTATAGATTTAATGGATAATTTCTCCCATCATTACGGGGAGAAAATAATACAAGGTCAAATTCCAAAAAAAAAAAAAGCACACTAGAATTGTCGGAGCACACCAACATTGTCCATTTATATCATTGTGAACTTGAAGTTCAAACATTAATTCACTTGTAGAGTATCGCAAATCATTACAAATATTCTTGTGTGATCAATTGCCCCTGAAGGACATCATGCGAATATAATGACTAATGCATCTAAAGTTTGTTCCTTGACTAAAGGAAATAAAAAATGACACTCCTGAAAAGTCAATGATTGACTAACAACTTCATATTTCTAGAGAAGTGACCCTAAAAGTGGTCTCAATACAGAAAAATTATGATATCTCGTTAAACTCTAAAAATATGAGTGGGTGATATAAAGTAATGTTTGTGTATATGTCGTTGCTTCTAAAAGTAAATATGAAACTAAAGTTTAGTAGCCTATATACATTTATTCATACTCTCATCTTCAACTTGCTCGTGGATGTGAATATGATGTTTCTCATCTGTGCATTTTGTTGTTGTACTATATATGTCTTTATACCGCCTCCACAACGTCCTAAAATGGGGGATAAAAAATGGCTAGGCATTTACGTGAGCTTTTGAAACTATGTGTATAATCAAGTATTTGGAGCCCATAATGGATAACTAGTTTATTGCCCGATTCACTATTATATATTTAGTAAGTGACATTTGCTAGCATTAAAGATAAAGTCAGACGCTTTATGAATTACGAGATTTTTTAAAAAAAAAAACTAAATGAATTATCTTGATCTATGTATAAGTATGACTGAAATTACTAAAGTTCAAAATATTATTAACTTATAAACTTTTGCAAGTCAAATGCCATATGTATTTATTGATCACAAATATATGATTGACTCGTATTCCTCTAGAGAATGCATAATCTATAGTGGAGATTCTAATGTGACAAAATATTATTTGAGTCTACTCAACACCAGAAGCATAAATGACTTATAAGGCCTAAAGACATAAATTAGCTGGAAAAAAATTGCTCATCACACCTCCTAAAGAGGTTAATTTTGAAGAAAACAAATCTGGTGAAATAAATGCATTTGCTAATTATAACAATCCTGAAAATACATAACGACGTAATCTGAATAAATTATAATGATGTGAGAGGAAAATATAATAAAATTGTAAATGTCGATGATGATTGAATAATGAGATCAGAATTCACGTCCCTCCCTCCTTTGATATCTCTTCTTTTCATCATTCTATCTTGTACCACAATTTTCCCTCAAATCTCCTTACATTTTATATCAATTTTTATAAAATTTATATATATATATATATATATATATTAAAGGAAAAGGATGATTGAGTAAACGCGGGTCCTCTGACTCAAAGAACACTTACATGAATTTGTGGACAGCTCACAAACATGAAACCCCTAAATTCGAACTTAATTCATACATAACTCAAAAGCAGAAGACCATCACATAAGCAACTGATGTTTGTATTACAATTTATATGAATATGACAGGTCATATTACAACTTCAATTAGTTTAAAGATAAGTTTAAGATAATCTGTTCAACTAGTAAAAATCATTTACGTTTTTTGGAAAAATGGTATTATACATTACGGCTTTGTTACTCTTCTTTTACATAAGATAATTATCTTATATTGTAGAGAGAAAATAAATGAGTCCCACCATTACAATAAAAAAAAAAAAGATGGGGTACAAAATTTAAAGTGAAAGAGCACAAGAGAAGTCATCTTATGTGAAAGAATAATAATATTTCTTGTACATTATAAATAAATATGAACTTTGTAAAATAAAATGATGTTAATTTAGAGTAGGAAAGTGAAAGAGAAAACTAGTTGAATGTAGACCCGAACGCACCAACCCTAGCCCGGCCCATTATTAGGCTACCAGTTCAAACCCGGCCCATTATAGAATATAGAGTATAAAATATAGAATATAAAACGTCGCCTTTAGACTTCCAAATGAAACCCTAGCCATCGTTGACAGAGACACCAAACGAACGAGCGTGTGTTAGTGTGGTGTTGTGAGTTGCAGCAGCCATGGTAAATGCCATCCTCTTCTCTTCTCCCACTCTGAATTTTCGTGAATTGAAGCATTCTGGTACTCATTGGTTGTTGTTTTTCAGGCAGATGCAGAAACAGAGGTGCAAGGAGTTCCGAAGAAGAGGACGTTCAAGAAGTTCAGTTTCAGAGGGGTGGATCTCGATGCGCTCTTGGACATGTCCACCGATGAACTCGTCAAGCTTTTCTCTGCACGTGCTCGCAGAAGGTAACTTTCATTCTTCTCTTCTCCTTCGAAATCTCTAATGCACCTCTCAAGTGCATCATCACATTTACATTTGCATTTACATTTAATTTCAGGTTTCAACGCGGTTTGACCCGCAAGCCTATGGCACTAATCAAGAAGCTCCGTAAGGCGGTCAGTTTTTTAAATTATTATTATAATTATTATTATTAATTACTGGATTTAACATGATAATTGATCTCGATTGCTGTGATAAACCTAATTAGAGTGATACATCATTGGATCTGTTGTTGGAGAATAGAGAAATATGTAAGAGTAACGTGGTTAATGGTTGAGCAACTAGGAAATTGTTAATATAGGGAAGTTGTGCAAAAAAACAAGTTCTTAATTTTTAAAAGTAGTTATTGTTGATGAAGGAGAAACTTGGCACAATTTTTAGTGGTTAATGTTCTAGCTATGTAACTCAAGAGGTTACATGTTCAATATATTTAATGAGCCTCTTGCAAATGTAAGGTAAGGTTGCTTACTATAGACCCGATAATGTTGTAGCTATGTACCTCAGAGGTCACATGCTCAATTTATTTAATGAGCTTCTTGCAAATATAAGGTAACGTTGCTTGCTATAGACCCTCGGAACGTTTCCCTGGATAGTGGGATTCCCTAGATAGCAGGAGTTTTATAGCATCAGGTTGCCCTTTTCAATTTTTAGTTAGTTTTTTTTTTTTTTTTTGTATAGGAAGGTTATCAATTGTGCTTCAGTAGCAAATTTCTGATGTTTGCTGTGCCTGGCCGCACTGCAATGTTAGAGGTAGGAGTTGTGGCCGTTGCTTGTGTCCGTTGTGGATGCAATTGCTGCAACAGTCAAGCAACGGCAAATTGCTAGCAATGACAAATTTCAAATTTGCCCGTTTTAATATTCTAATGGTTGTTTTTTGGGGTTGTCTTTTTACCGGGTTTTATGAAACCTTGAACTCTCTTTTTCCACTCTCTCAATCCTGATTTTCACTCACATCTCTTACTCTCTTTTCTGCAAAATGTATAGGGATCAGACCTTTTTGTGATAAAAATAATCTTTAGTTGTTTATAGTCTGTTCTGATCATATCCAGCACATTAGAGTTTACATTTTATTAATCACTATGAAAGGCAAAATGGTGTATAATTTTAATCATGGTCTATATGTTGAGACAGAAAAGGGAGGCTCCACCCGGTGAGAAGCCAGAGCCAGTTAGGACTCACCTCCGCAATATGATCATTGTGCCTGAGATGATTGGTAGCATTATTGGTGTTTACAATGGGAAGACCTTCAATCAAGTTGAAATTAAACCAGAAATGATTGGCCACTATCTTGCTGAATTCTCAATCTCTTACAAGCCTGTTAAGCATGGAAGGCCAGGTATAGGTGCTACTCACTCCTCCAGGTTCATCCCTCTCAAATGAAGACATCACAAATGTCCCTTCTTTTTTCTTATGTCAAACTTTCCCTTGTTTAATGGGAATTATTTATTTCTAATTTCTAGTTGATGTTGTTTAGCCTTCTATTATAGCAGTGAACATGAGTTTTGGATTTACATTATATTTATTAATGAGCTTTTTGTACTCCTCCCCTCCCCCTCTCTCTCGATTTAATATGTGGTATTGGAAAATAACTGGATTACATACAAAGGAAATGAAATGGATTACATACAAAGGAAACATGGTGGTGGAATAGAGAGGTGCAAGAGGCAATTAAACATAAGGAGTGCTTTAGATCTGTGCATAAAAGTCCCAGTGAAGAGAACTTGCAAAAGTTTAGATTGGCGAGAAAAAATGCAAAGAAAGCTGTGCGAGAAGCTAGAGGTAAGGTTTTCGACGAGTTGTATAAAAATCTTGGGAGCAAGGATGGTGAAAGAGGTATTTATAAACTTGCAAAGATAAGGGATAAGAAAAGTAAAGACCTCACCCAAGTTAGATGCATCAAGGATGAAAATCAAAAACTTCTTGTGAGAGATGAAGATGTAAATGAAAGATGGTTGAACTACTTCAACAAGTTGTTTAATGGGGATGGAGATACAAGCGAGGTAGACTTGGAGGACGCGTATGATGATATGAATAGAAGATTTGTTTGCAGAATTAATACACATGAAGTTAAGGAGGCTTTAAAGAGGATGAAGACTAATACAGCCTTGGGGCCTGATGGTGTCCCTATTGAAGTGTGGAGAGGCCTGGGGGAGTTGGCAATAAAATGGTTGATCAATCTTTTCAATAAGATTCTCCAGACAAATAAGATGCCTGATGCATGGAGGAAAAGTATGATTGTGCCTATCTACAAAAACAAGGGAGATATACAGAATTGTTCACACTATAGAGGCATTAAGCTAATGAGCCATACTATGAAGTTGTGAGAGAGGGTTATTGAACATCGCTTGAGGAGAGATACTAAGGTTTCTGTAAATCAATTTGGATTTATGCCAGGAAGATGTACCATGGAAGCCATTTTCTTGATGCGACAACTAATGGAAAGATATCGAGAAAAGAAGAAGGACTTGCATATGGTGTTCATAGACCTTGAGAAAGCATACGATAGGGTTCCAAGGAATGTTTTATGGTGGGTTTTGGAGAAGAAAAAGGTTCCATCAAAGTATGTAAAGGCAATCAAGGATATGTATGATGGAGCTACTACATGTGTAAAAGCTTGTAACGGAACATCAAGTTATTTTCCTATCGTGGTAGGTGTACACCAAGGGTCGGTTCTAAGTCCTTATCTCTTTGCCTTAGTTATGGATGAACTAACAAAAGATATTCAAGAGGAAGTGCCATGGTGTATGCTTTTTGCAGACGATATTGTGCTTATTGATGAGTGCAAGGAGGGTGTTAATAGAAAACTTGAATTGTGGAGAAGCACATTGGAATCCAAAAGATTCACATTAAGTCGAAGCAAGACTGAGTATCTGAAGTGTGAGTTTTCTATGGTACGAGATGGGGACCAAGAGCTCGTGCATTTAAGTGGTCAAGAGGTACCCAAAAAAGATGCTTTTAAATACTTGGGCTCCATATTCCAAAAAGGTGGAGAGATTGATGATGATGTAAATCACAGAATCAGAGCAGGGTGGATGAAATGGCGCAGTGCATCTGGGTTTTTGTGTGACCGCAAAATCCCTCTTAAGTTAAAAGGAAAATTCTTTAAAACGGCAGTAAGACCGGCAATGCTATATGGTGCGGAATGCTGGCCAACACATAGGCAACATGAGCATAAGATGAGAGTCGCAGAGATGAGGATGTTAAGGTGGATGTGTGGTTACACAAGGATAGATAAGATAAGAAATGAAGATATTCGACGAAAGGTCGAAGTAGTACCAGTAGACGAGAAGATGAGAGAACATAGATTGAGGTGGTTTGGGCACGTGATGAGAAGGCAGGATGCTCCTGTAAGAACAGAAGTTTGTTACCAAGAGCTCAACACAAAAAGAGGCAGAGGTAGGCCGAAACTTACTTGGGGAAAGGTGGTAAAACAAGATTTAATGGAGTGGAATATAGATTGGCGGACGATTTGTCTTAGACGGAATGGAGAAAAGCTATAAATATGGTGGAGGGTTAGACCCGTTGTTATTCCTATGTTCCAAATAGTCCTTTTTTAGTCTTTTTCCCTTTCATCTCCCTCACTTCTTCTTGTCCCTTTCTTTTTTACTTTTATTTTATTTATATATACATATCTATATACATATATATTTTATTTTATTTTTATTTTTATTTTATTTTTTCAACTGTTTTGTATCTTTCATGTGGGTTCATCTACCACCGACCCCAATTAATTTGGGAAAAATGTGATGTTGATGTTGATGTTGAAAAATAACTGGGTTATGACCATAAAACGCTCTGAAAAAAAAAAAAAAACGAAGGACCAGTCACTTCTTACATCCTAATTATATTCTGTAAAACAGAAGCACCTCTTTCAAATCGTGTCAAATGCACGGGGTTGGTTGTGATTGTAAATTTTTTCCAAGGAAATTTATGTGGCTAAATTATGTAGAGCTCGTTAAGTTTGCAATATTTTATTTTTTTTGGTTAGTGTTAACTATAAAATTTAAACTTGTAACCGCGCCCAGTTTACTCAAATCCTGAGTACTAGCCCAATCCTATTAGCTTGTTGGGTTTGTAAATGCAGTCATCTAGTTAGTTGGAACTATGTTGTGACTGCCTTACAGGCAGGCTGCTTTTTCCCTGAATATGGATAAATTCATTTATAGTTTTTTTTTATCAAGTTATAAAAAATGTAACAGACGTCTAATGCAGCTCAGTCTACCGGACTATTATTCATCCAACCCAAGCGTTTCCACGCCTCTAATGAGATTTTTTTTGCCCCTTTGACATTTTCTGATAATGGATATTTTTATGTGAGATTTTGACATGATATAATATCTTGTGAAAATTGTGTGTGTTTGACATCAGAGTATGATTTGTTTGATGCTAGTTTATGAAGAAAACTCGCAAATGAACCTTTACAAAAAGTAACTTTTGCAATATGCTGTAAATCTCTATCTATGGTTTGAAATTTTATATATTTTCTAAACGGTTATTCAAGACTTCACGAGAAGAAATATTTTCATGGAAAATTCCTAGCTATTTGTTTTGTTTTTAGAATTAAGACCTATTCGACTGTTTTTCACTTTTTTGTGATAAAAATTGCCGAATCAGTTGTTCTTTCTTTCTTTTGTCGTTGTAAAACACAAGTGAAAAATAAACAAAAGGGCAGAAAAAGGTCACTCGGTCACTGATCGAACAAATATGGTAGGGTAATTACGGTTACCAACATTTATGGGGGAAAAAAAATAGGGTTTTAGATCATTGTGCCCTTGATTAAAATAAATATTATCATTATGTCCTCTCTTTTTTTTTTTAAAAAAGTTGACCTTCTACTAAAATATAAAATCAATCTGCTATGTTAGACCGTTGATTGGGCAACCTACTCGAGTACTTCACCCATGAACTTGAGTAAGTTTCGAGGGGCTCCCGTTACTCTAATGCCTCGTATTCAAGTAACTCATGCATAGAAGCTCCATATGAGTGGGTTTTGACATTATTCTGTTTTCTACTTAAAATTTCACTTGTTTCTCATTTCTATTCCAACTCATCAAAGTGACTTATCTCACAATCTCTAAACCATTAACCTTAGTGAAATCATTGTCAAATTCCCACCAGATCATTGTCAAATAAGTAACCAAATGACATATCTAGAGTCTCCTCCGCAGCTGCCCTAGAGGACGAGGGCTTGTCATTCTAGGCTTTGACATTTGTTTGGGTCAAGGGTCTCTTCGACACACGTCTTTCAGCCATTTCTTACAATTGCAAACTTGCAAAAACAGATAACAAATAATCAACAATACAAAAAAAAAAAAAAAAATACTCAAGAATTTGCGCCAAAAAAAACCCGAGAGTTCAAAACCTAGGGATCCTAAATTTGGGTTCACAACTTTAATTCATAACAAATTTGACATGTTAATCAACCAAATAACCTAAAAATCAAACAAAGTAAGTAAAAATTCGAGAATAAAAAGGGGGATTTCAATTGGGGTTCATTAAAAAAACTCAAATACATACTTAAATGAGATTCCAATCGATTGAAGAAGGAGATGATGATGAACAAGGAAGGACCGATCGATTTCAGTTGCAATTTGTGGGTGATTGCACAAAAATTTTGCTCCTTACTCAAGTATGTGAGGTGGGTGAAATATATGAAATGAAATGAGGGTTTTATTTAAAACAAGCTCGCACAAGTTACTCGAGTACGTGGAGCTACTCGAATAACTCATCTTTCACGAAAAATGCTCGAGTATGGATTCTAATACTTGTGTAACTTAAAAGAAATGAAAAGTACTCGAATACAAAACTTAAATACTCGAGGACATAACTCAGTGAACGGTCAAAGTTATAATATTTATTTTAATCAAAGGAAGAAAAAATACATAGATCCAGTTTCAAGTACTGTTACTTGAGGATTCAGGGCCAGGGTTTGTGGGCAATGGAAACATCGCTTAAATTAAATCAACCCCCCGGGCAAATGTTACTTGATTCCCTAGGGTCACGGTTTTTGGGCATCTAACACATGGACTTAAAATTATACACCTGTGAAGATGTAACAGCTCAGCCCAATTCATTGAAATAGAAACACAATAAACCGGATTTTTATTTTATTTTATTTTTAATATTTTGAAGAAAGTATAAAAAATATAAAAAAAAAGGCCTCATTGTGCACTAAAAGATTAAGAAAGCCAAGTTGCCAAGAAACTATCACTAATTGGTTTTCTCATGCGTCATCGTGTAATGGAAGCCTTAATGTGAATGTTAAGTGGTGGTTTCTGATTTGACCGATTGTACTGATAATGATAGTTGATCCACATTATTTGTTCTATCAAAGGTTAGAAACTTCGCGGAAATAATTATCACTCTGCTGAAACAAAAGTCTACCCTCATTAATCCAAGGTTAGAATTAAACCATTATGGATATTTTCTTCCCAATAACAAATCCAAAATTGGGCAGGTCAGCATAACCTTTGCACTACTTGTGTGCTAGTTTGAAGATTTGTGGATAATTATTACAATTATCACGTTTGAGACTTTTTAAAGAATATCTAGAATGTTCACTAACATCCCTCCTCTTCCAATTGTTGATCCCTGCACTCATTATAAGGGACTTTACTATTTGATACTTCATCTTAATCTTAAAATGCAAAATGCAGCCAATAAGCCAACTATATTCCCCGTCAACAAAAAAAAATGTTGAATGCTGTAATTATGAAAGGTCAATTGTTCGCAAGCAATGGAGCCAAAAGATAGAATTTATTCTCTTAATAATATTGATTACAGTTGGTATTGGACCCAAGAAAACTATGATCGAGCATGAATGCCCATATTGGTCCCCTTGCAACTCACATGCTTTGTTGAGAAACTTCCACAAGCCAAGAAACACTTCTATTAGCATAAATGACAAATTGAATGAAGCTTTGCAAGTAGTTTATGCAAATAAAGAGTTACTATATTCACTAGAATCATTTATTGCGCTGAATGATATTTCATGACAATCAAATTGCTAGAAACTTGTCTGGGAGAACTAAATTGAAAGAACTTTTAACATTTTTTTAAGTCTTTTGATTCATTTAGAAAACCCTGAAATGTTTATAACAGCTAAAGAAAGACAAAATAGTTCTTCCGAATTGAAACTACCCAATTTTACACATTTCTTCATTTAATCAGTGATTTTCATCCCCTAAATTAGCCAAACTATCCAAAAGACAAAATCTGCGCCAAGAAGAACATCCCCTGCTTGCATAACTTAAAATATGTACAGCAGCATCTCAAGCTAATCACACTGCTGGGCTTGATCTTGTTTAAGCTCTCCATGTAGTTCATGCATTTGCAGATTGTGTTGGTAACTTAGGGTGGTTATGCTCTCCTTCATAGGTAACAATTAGCATGGTAGGCTCTTCCAAGCATCTCTCAACATGCTTCCTTGCAGGACAGCCTCTCATGCTGCTGCACTTATAATATCCCCTGAAAAAAAGAAGAAGAGATATTACTGTTAGTTTCCTCAAAACATAACACATGTAGTTCACATTCACCTTCACCTTTCATCTGATTGGCAATACTGTGCAAATAATAGAGCATGAATCTCACAGTTACCTACAGGAATGAGTTTATGGCAAGCCTACCAAAATACCAGATTTATTTCTCAAACAGGTTTTTCAAGGCACAAACGAGCCATGACAAAAATTTCGCAGTTAATCTACAGCAAGATAATCAGATAGAACTTTGATTTGTTCTAAAAGATTTAAGAGATACTAGTGGACATTGAATGAGAAAATTCAAGGACCATTCAATCACTTCAAGTCTATAATGTTCTCATCAACCTGAATACCAACTAAGAACAAATTACAAGCACAAACAGAGGAATACACTAGCAACTGCAATCAACATAAAACATATCCACACAAGAAAATAAAAAAGCCCTACAGCCTTGCACATCATCATCAAGTGCACTTACTTTTAATGCTGAAAAGAGAAAGTTACAATCATAAATGCACACCAAACAGCATGACAGTCAAAAAAAAAAAATAGTTCAGAAGCTTTACAAAATTATTACATCACAATTACATTTGTGCCTCTTGAATCAATCAAATCTCTGAAAGCAGAGATAGAACATACCTAGGGTGAGGAGAGCCCTTGATTGGCTTCTGTCCGTACTTCCTCCATGAATAATCATCAGAAGGGATATCTGCAAGTTTGTTGCTGATAGCAGGCACCTTAATTGATCTCTTCACTCTATGTTTCCTGTGGAGAAAGCATAGAATTATTAATGACATATTACAAGGACTTCTATAACCTTTGAAGTAACAGAAATTAATGATTAATGCAGTGACCATAAGTCTTACCTCTTCTTTGAGCAGTGGCATCTAGCACTGCTCCCACATTTTAAGCTTCCCTCATCACCTCTGACAGAACATTTTCTCTTATGCTGTTGTGAATTCTGATCAGAAGAGTGTGGAGCTCCAATTAAATGAAAGGAACTTCCATCCAAGTTAGCTACACTTCCATCTATGCTCAAGGAAGAAATGAAAGACCTAGTAGATGACATTGTTGGTGTGCAGCTAGTGCTGTCAAAATTCAGGCTTATGCCACTATTATTCCTTCGGAACATCATTTCTGCTTGATGTTTCATTTGTTGCTGTTGCAGCGACAACCTTTGTTGTTGCTGCTGTTGTTGTTGCTGCTGCTGAAAGAAGTGATAGGGAGTTGATGAAGCTTGTTGGGTAAGGTGAAGAGGACTTTTCCCACTGGAGCTCAATTCCAAAGATGGGTTTCCTAGAGAGAGTGAATTTCTAACTGTTGAGGCCAGTTCCTGAAATGAACTGTCAGGAAAGCTGATTTGGGGAAACTGCAGATTTTTTGTGTGATGATTGGTTTGGCAATTTGGGTTGTCTAAGAGGATACTTTGGGAAAAGGGGACTTGAAGTTTTTTACATTTCTTCACTCTTGCATGACCCAAACCATTGTGAAGCAAGGAAACAACTTTCTTGAACCTCACCACAGCTTCCCCAGTTTCTACCATTAAATTCCTATGCTGAACCTGATCCCGGGGCTGAGACAACAAACTTAGAACTCTATGACAGCTTTCAACAGCTGCTTTGTTAACTTGTTCAACCTCTTCCATATTAGCCTCTATCTATCAAAAGTTAATTTTTTTTATTTTTTTTAACAAAAAAAACTAAGTCCCCAAATCAGAGTGGGCAGAATTAAGCCAAGCACACCAGAATACTAACAAAAGATCCCATTTTAATACAAATATATCAGACATTCAGCCATATATGGCAGATAAAAATACCCAGATGGAAAAAATCCCATTTTTCACCAGACAATGAGCCACAAAACTAAGGATTTCAAAATTTCAGTTCTTGAAAAAAAAAAAGGTTTAATTTTTTGAAAATAAAAAAAGACCCAGCTAATCAGAACCAACTGAGAGTGCCTGCCAAAGAGATTGCAGCATATCTGCCTTAAAATAAATGGACCCAATTTTCCAGTGACAAAAAAACTCAAACAGAAAAAAAGAAAAAAAGCACCAAAGCACAGACCTTGATGGACTTGGTGCTGTCAAACCCTAGATTCTTCTTCCCATAGTTTTGAGATTGAAAGGTGTGAAAGATAGGACTTTGCTTAGCTTGAGAATTCACACAACCATCATACATAAGAATACAAAGCTTCCAACTTTAGACTATATATATTTATTTATATATATATATATATATATATATAAATCAAAGTCCAAAGAAGCAAGAAGAAAAACAACAAAAAAAACATATAATATTTGTTGCTCTGGCCAGAGAGAAAGAGAAAACAAAGAGGAGTTTGTTTAAATAAGCAAATTCACAAAGGGAAGAGGCACGAGGAACTGAGAAATGAAACTGATGTCTCTGTCACAGATTTGAAGGTGGGTCCCGCATGAAGACCTTTGTTATTCTTTTTCTTCCCTTATTTCAGCTTTAATTAATATTTTCTTAGACCTACCCCTTTCAGCTTCACTTTTACTACTTCCACTTATTAATTCAATTCCTTTAATGTGTTTCAGATTTAGATTTAGATTTTATTTTTATTTTTCAGTTTCGGGTTTTGGACTTACCTTATGTGTTGTGCTGCGTGCTTTTCATGTTCAACAATTATAATCAATTGAGTTAATTAAGTTTATGTTTAGCTATAATCCCATATTTCATATTTATTTTGAAATGAGACAAAACGGTGATCTGCTATATTATTTAGCTATAAAATACGTGAAGTTGGATTAAATTACAAAAAAAAATTATTTGGAAATTTTATAGTTTAATTGTTTTGTACTAACTAAATTATGGTTTTGAGTGACAGAACTATTTTTGTATTTATTAGATAAAAGTTTTGGGCTATTAATTTATGGGCAAATTGCTTTTCTTGTAATAGGAGAAATAATTAATTTTCCTACTGAAACATAGCGGGATCCACATAATAAAATAAATAAATAAATAAAAGAAAACTTGATTTGCTATGTGTCTGCAGAAATATTATTTCCTATTCTTACAAAATGAGAAGTCCATTTCTGTTAATTTATTCTCTTAAATAAATAATAATAATTTTATTAAATGCAACCCATTTATGTTTCCTAAATTAAAAATAGAGAAAAAAAATATTTTTAGAAATGTTATCACTTTCACTTAATTGTACAAAGACCCCCATATTTATTTCAGCACTCAATTATTTATGAATGATTAAGATCTTTTATATGATATGATCACGTTAAAATTAGATATGAAAGAATCAATTGCCATTATTTGTTCATGATCTTATCATGGCATTATTATGTTTTAACATGATCAAATCATGTGAAAATATTAATTATTTATTCATAAACTAATTATCAGCCTGAAAATTTTTATTTTTCTTATTGAATGAACTTCGTCATTAAAATTATAATCATGAATCTATGGATAAATGAATGAGACCTTTCACATATTAAAACAAGACATAAAAAGATCCATTCTCATTATTTGTAATTAATTACTTGTTGAGGTTGAATAAGATAATTGCCTAGGTGGTATAATTAATAAATTTCAAATGAATTGATTTGTACAACAATCCTTTCTTAATAATTAAACATGTTTGGGCTCATTGGTTTGCTAAAAAAATTCCCTAAAATGAAAATTAATTTTATCAAGTGAGATTTAATAAAAATAAATATATCTTAAAAAGTTGTCTACTAAAATTGACAAGAGCAAAACAAAAAGTCAGCCATGCATTAAATTAATATTTCTTTTGTTAAATTCTTCTAACAAAGACTTATTCTTCAATAACTACAATTATCATTTAACATAATAGACTTCTAATATTTGATTTTAGCATTTTGTTTATGAAAATATATGTTTAACCGTACATATCTCCCTTATTATTATTATTTTGAGTTTCCTCCATGTATCTCATAGCCGATAGTTGAAGATTAATCCTTTCGAAGCTTAAAGATTATCGAAATGGAATTTGTCTTATCAACAAAGTCTTTTTCATACATACAGTCATAGATCAAAATCCTTATCAGCATATTTAAAGAATCTAGCTATCTATCAAATATGCTGGGCTTTGTTGATCCCCTGTTATTTTTAAATAGGTGATTTGATTGATGAAATGATCTACAAAATCAAGGGAAAAAAATCAATTGAACATTGATGCACAATCAAATTTCTTTTCTTTGGAGACTAACACTTGAGCATAGGCAATTCTCAAGTTACACAAATTTTTGCACTTATTTCTTTCAATGGATATTTATAAATTTTGATAGCACTCCACCTACGTAATTTATAGAAAGATATAAGCACAAATTTTTTTTACATTAATCTTGCACATGAGAATCTCACATAGAAAGATTCATTTTACTTTTTTAGAATTAATTTTTTGTGTATTATTATTAGAGTAAACACCCTTTTTGGTCCCTCGCAATATCTACGAAATCTTTTATAGTCCCTGGCAATAAAAAAGGACCAAATTGGTCCCTAACAGTATGTAAAAAGGGCCACGTTAGTGACAGAGGAGTTGACATAAGGACTAATATGGCTCTTTTTTCATAATTTTAGGGACCAATTTGGTCCTTTTCTATTGTCAGGGATTAAAAAGGATTTCGTAGATATTGTCAGGGACCAAAAATGGTGTTTACTCTTATTATTAATGGGAGATGATTTTCTCCTGTTGTTGGAGAAAAATCATCTCTTGTTGTCTCACAATATTTATTTTTAAAAAAATGATGGGACCCACAATCAGAGGCGGACACAAGTCAAAGAGAAGGGGACAAGTGCCCCCCTTAAATTTTGACATGAAAATATCAAAATACCCTTCATTTAAAATTAAGTTTTCTCCTATTTTATTTTTTGCTTTTTCTCCTCCACCCATCACCCATGACCAGTGACCTGAGTACCTGACCCTCTCCATTAGACCAAATCCAAACCTAATAACAGCAATCATCGGAGATGGAGAGGAGAGAGCTCTATATGATTGGTTTGTTCTCTTTATTTATATATGATTTTTGAAGTTGCATTTTCATTTCTATTTGTGTAATGGGTTGGATCTTATTTGGCTGTTTTTTGTGATCCTTTCAAAGGTGCAGCACATAAATGTTAGATCTTATTTGTCTGTTCTTGCGTTGTATGCTCACTTTTGTTATTAAAATATATGTACTTGAATTTCTTAGTGCCCACCCTTCATCCATGTTCTGGATCCGCCACTCCCCACAATAGAAATATTTTTATGACTTAAGAGGAAAAATTTCCTACAATATAAGAAAAGATTTTGCTATTATTAATATCACAAAATGTCTTAAACATACTGACTAGTTCAGTTATTTAAATCAAATTATTTTATTTAATCAATTTTATTTTATTTTTCTATAACTGATTGCAAATTAACTAAGGGAATGTGTTATAATTATTTTGAAGAACTCGCATGGCCCAACAACATTTTATATATTTTTTTATGGGATAAGATATTGTGACAATCAAATAATGTTACTATAAATGTTATTACCACATCTTAACCGTTGATTTCCGCCAATCAACAGTTATCATTTATTTCGAATTAATAATTAATTAATGAGTTTAATTTGAAAAATGATAACTGTTGATTGGCAAAAATCAACGGTTAAGATGTGGTAGTAACATAGATAGTAACATTATTTGGTTGTCACAAAATTTTATTTTTTTTTTATTAGTAATTCTAAGTACTATTATCTGTGATGTAAGCCTAATGGTTCTAGAACCATCAATGACGAGGGAACTCGCATATCCATTTGTAATTTCTTTGAAAATATTGCACGAATGATATTTATTTCCCGTATTTCAAATACTTTGTACAGTGCCCAACAAGTTATTAGGTGTTCTTTTAATAGTTTCGGTAAACAAATTTGCATTCAGCTCAGAACCGATGTGAAAATAATTATTTATTTATAACCAGTTTCAAAAATAGTTCGAAACTAGTCCATAATGAGTTTGGAAACCATTCGAAATTGATTCTTATTTCAAAATTAGTTTTTTTTTTGGTGTGTAAAATTAGTTCTTTATTTATAATCAGTTCCGAACCAGTTTAAAATTAATTCAGGTATATAAACAGATTTCAAACCGGTTCTTTTAATTCAACTCAATTTTTAAATTGATTTATAAAATCAATTTAATTTTTAAAATTATTTAAAAAGATACAATTTAGTTCGATTCTATTCACTTTAATTCCATTTGATTATTTATTTGTTCTAATTTTAGTGGAGGATGAGTCAAATTGATTTTCTAAATACATTAACGATAGTTATTTTAAGGGTTTAATATTTTTATGTTATAAGACATAGTTTTATCTTCTATACACACATAAAAGTATGTGACATCCGCATTTTCTTTCTCTCTTCTTTTGACATCAATTTAATTTTGAAAATTATTTAAAAATTACAATTTAGTTCGGTTTAGTTCACTTTAATTCTGTTTGATTATTCATTTGTTCTAATTTTAGTGGAGGATAAGTAAAACTGACTTTCTAAATATATCAACTCTAGTTCTTTAAAGAGATTAATATTTCTTATTTTATAAGGGATAATTTTATTTCTTATATACACATAAAAGTATGTGAAAAAGTATATAGGGTCTCCGTGTGGCCATGTCAATAGAAGAAAAAGAAAAAGAAATAGACCCTACACATTTTTATATATATTATATAGAAAATAAAATTATTTCTTATAATATAAAAAATATTAAACTCTTCTTTAAAAGTTGTAAATGTGTATGAAAAAAAAAAAATCTTAAATGCTGTAATAATTTGATAGTTGATTGAATTGTCATCAATTTTTATTTTTATTTTATTTTTGCAAAATTTTCCTTCTTTATCTGAGTCATGATATACTATTTTGTAAATCACAAGCCCAAACCAACAGTCATGCAAACAATACAGACAAAAAAATATTTTATGAATTTAATTATACTAATAATTAATTTATATTTTTTGACAACACAATATTAACTATAATCATAATTTTGTTTTTACATAAACCGTGTATACACAACTACGTTAACTTGCAAAAAAAAAAATAACCGTTAAAAGAAAAAGCAACCAATGAGACATAAGCACCAATAAAGGTGGCCACGCGTATCCCAAGTTAGTGCTTCACTTTGACTGTCCTCAACGTACGCACGCTGCTAACATGCGCCATGGGAACACCATTCGTTCGGTGACTGACTGACACGCAACTGAAGTCAGGGCCCAGTCGTTGACTTTTTTGTCACCACAGCCTCTGCCTGTGTTGTAAAGTGGGTTTGTGTAA